ACCCAGCGAATTACATCAGAAAGACTTGGGCCTTATGTGCGAGTCAGCCGCAAGCTTTGTTTTAAGTGGTCATAAGTGACACAGCAAGAGGTTTTCAGCTAAAGAGTGCTGAAGGAATGTTAAAAATATCTTCTGTCCTGTTAGATATCCAGATAGTTTTGGACTGCCTTTTTTTTTTCTTTTAGGGGGGGCTAAGGCTTACACTGCTGCATGTGAAGGCACGTGTTTGGGCTGCCTTTTTGGGGGATATGTCCCATTGAACTGCCAATCCTCTTCCCTTCCGGCAGTTAAGGAAGGACATTTGTAACCTTTAGATGGGCTTATCCTTTTTGCACATAGTGCCCAACTGACGTCTGCTGCCTGTTTTCACTATTTTCATTTTACACGTCTTGGAATGTTATACCTGAGCCCTTTTGAGGTAACTTCAGTTTGCTGCCATTACCAGTGCAGGTCCTCAAAACTGAATAGCCTTCAGTAGATATACTGCAAGAGAAGGGGAGAAAGTCAGCTCTTCTTTATTCTGGGCACATTCTCCCCACCTTGCTCCTTTCTTGTACTTGTTGGGATTAGTCTAGCTTTACCATTAGTCATGCTGCAGCTCCTGTTCAGGGGTCACTATGGAGGAGGAGCAGGAATTTACCTCTTTGCTCTTGATGGAGCCCAGAAGCAACAGCTCCTTACAACCCTGTAATTGATAATTTTTATCTAAATCTCAGAGGTGGGGGAATATTTTCTTTCTGCTGCCTAGGTAAGACTGGAGACAGTCTTAAAGGAATAGTTTTAGAAGGACAGGAGGACTGACAGAAAATAATACATTAGGGTCCAGGAGGGCTCTCACTGAAAGTAACTCTGTTGTAGTTAAGATGCATTATTGCAGTAGGAAAAAATAACAAAATTACCAAGAAATTTGATGGCAGTGGGTAGCTGTGAGCCCTAGATGTGGCAAATTCAGCTTTTTTTTTCTTCTTCTTCTTTCACTGCTGTTGTAGTTCTGAAGGATTCTGCTGTAATCTATGTCTTTCCAGCATCTCAGGCCTAAGAAAGGGCATGAAAGTGATAGCAAAGGGCTTGCTGTCATGAAGATGTATAGCTCGAGTAGCTTTTGAGTGATAAAATGGAATTAGGAACATGTATAAGTATTAGAGCTACTACAATAATGTAATCCTGTGGTACTTGAAACTGAATTCAGGTTTTTGTTTTAGGTTTTGTGGAATTTTTTTTTATGCAAATGCATCCGTACTTAATCAGTCTAGCTGTTTCTCTG